GAAATAGATTAATTTCTGACTGTAGCCAATCCAACCCAAATGCTCCGTTAGAAGTCTTTTGTGTGAGGTTTTCAGTCTATATTCAGAACTCAAACCTTTTTAGCCTTAGCAACTTTTATTTGTTTACTATTGCATATTTTTCTTGCCACGACAAAATGCTTTTGCTCACTTCACTTCACACTTTTCTTGCCTCAACATACTTTTTCCATCTGTTCATATCATTTGCTGCTGCTTATTTTTCCTTTGTGAATACCATTAGACAATAAACTTAGGATTAGTTAGTGACACCTAGTTCTAGTTGTAGCAATCTTTAAAGATTTCCCCCCAATTTCTGTGGAGACTATAACTCACTTCCTATTGTATTACTTGCATTGATTGTGTATTCTTGCACAATTTACGTGTCACAACACACATTTACACGCCATCAAAGGTTAGAAAGGAATTTAAAACGTTTCTAGATATCTAAATCCTCCAAAAATGAGATGGTTTCACTTAGGTTTATAAAACCCCCACTAAACCCACTTTTGGATACCTTGGTGAAATGAAGAGATTAAGGGCTTGAATTGAAGCTCTAGAGTTGAAGAATAAGGTTCTTACCTTGGAATCCTTGAACTAGGCTTGAAAAACTAAAAGCTTCAACCTTTGCTCTAGCTTTTTAAGAATGAAAATGAAAACTCTTGGGAGAAGAAGATGACAAAGAAGAGTGGCAAAAAAGAGAAGTAAATCAGACGTGATATAATTAAGGGATTTCAGCTTTTGAAATTATAAATGGTATATATTTATTTCCTTTGTCCTCGTCATTTTGGTTACAAACTAAAAATGTCATTTTTATTCACTTTTGGCTCAATCTGAGCCCAATTTCATATAACTTGGGTTAAGGCTTCCTACAAGCCATGGGTTTTATCCAAAGCCCAATTCAAATTAACCCGAAACTCCTAACTCGGGATTCAAGGAGTTACGTTATATCCTTTTCTTTTCATGTAAAATTACATGCATAAATTTAGATTAGGTTCTTTGATAAAATTGGTAAAGTTAAATATTTATTCGAGTTTGAATTTACAAAATTCAAATAATAGAAAAAATTAAATTAAAGCAATTTCATTTTAGTCTCTAATTTACTTTAAAAAAAAAGTAAATCGATTTTGTGATTTAATTTTTGGTTTTATTGTTTTCTTAATTTCTCCTCATTTAAAATTCATTTTTGACAAAATTTGAATCATATATTCCTCGATCACAATATATATATATATATATATATATATTCAGTCTTTTTTTGAAAATATTTTTAATTTTTTTAATTTAGTCTATTAACTTAATATTTTATTTAATTTGATCCTTTGATTGCAACTATTTAAAACTTATTTATTCTCATAAATTTGTTGACTCTTTATACTCTCATTAATATTTTATCCTCAAAATATGTTCTTTAAATAAATACATTGTAATTGTATTATATACTTTTAGATGTATTTAATTTATCAAGTAACATTATAAATCTTGCACGTGTAAAAGAAAGAAAATAAAAATGTGTATATTGTATATGGTTAGAAAACTTTGTTTAAATTGAAATCAACCAGTTAGGTATAGACCTAAAGGATGTTAGGGGCAGTTGCACCCTTGGAAATTCCAAATCTGCATATAATTTAAGTGTTATATTTGTATTTTATATAAATGACTTAATTTTTGCATCCCTAATATTTGTAATTTTGTACCCCTAAGTTTCTATTATTATTTTTTATAATTTTATACCTCTAACATAAAATCTTATGTCGTCCCTGCAACTATTACCAAAATATTATAAATAATCACATTTAAATTTGAATATACAGTTGAATAAAGAAACTTAGTTGTTCATTTGATTCATCCCTAACAATAGATAATATCAAACGCATGGATTATGAGAAGACACGTGGCAAATAGGACCAAAATTACGGGGGATGGGAGGATTGAGTGGATCATAGAACCTGAGTCACAGAGCGGTCAACAAAGTCGCCTACTATACACTTGCGTTCCTCAGTTAGGCTACCTCTTTTCCCTATTCCCTTGTTTGCGACTTTCAGGCTCCAACTAGGAAGAATCACCACGCTAGCTCATTCTGCTATATTTCGGGGTTTTTTTATGTAGATTTTGTATTTTATAATTATATGAGTCCTAATTAAGAGTAAAATGCTTATAATATTATTTTTTTCTTCCACAAATTCAAATATAAAATTTTGATCTAAGGGATATCAAACCCCTTAATCTTTAGCGTTTAACTCAATAGATGTTGTTCAGCTAAATATATTAAAAAGAAAAGGCAAAAAAACATCATAGGCTCTTGTATTTTTGTAAAAAAAATGTGACCCTCGTTTTATTTTGTTTCTTCAATGTAGTCCTCCAATTTAGAAAACAAATCCAATGTAGCTCTTTGACCAACGTTTTTCATCGTTTGACCGTTACGGTAATGACATGGCAGTTCACAGTGCTGAGATGGCAGTCCATCTTCCAAGTTTGAGTTACTAATTTAACACATCTGCCATGTTATCCACTATGTTGTCAATCACTATAGACCACCACGTCAGCACTATAATGGTCAAGGACGAAAAGCGTTGATCAAAGGGTCACATTAGGCTTATTTTCTAAGTCGGAGGGTCACATTGAGAGAAAAATAATATGAAAACTAAATTAGTTTTTTTTCAAAGTACATGGACCTTTGATACTTTTTTGCCTAAAAAATCAATGAAGAGGGGGGATTTTGTTTTTTTGAATGAAATTGAAATCTTTTGGGAAAAAAGTATTTTAGTATTGTTTGATAAATTGAAATTTTTAATATTAAAGAATTAAATATTAAAACATTAAGTTTTAAAATTTGAATTATAAATGTATTTAATATTTTACTTAAAATAAATTAAAAATATTTTTCATTAAATGATAAATTGATTTTTATCTATTTAATAATTTTCATATTATATTAAATCACTACAACCCTTAATTTTCAATAAATTATTTTTTTCAAAAGGTTGTCAGACGTATTCTTAATAAAGTTTTTTCCCTAAAAATGACAATTGAATTTCATTAATAATGAAATGAATTAAAATTACAACACATCAAATAATAAAGAGAAAATTAGAGACAATAGTCCTCAAATAAAAAAAATAAAATATTGAACCTAAAGATACGAAGAAAAATAAAACATTCCATTCAGAATGACGACCAACGTTAAAACCCAATAACCTTAATAAAAACTCCTAGTCTCTGTCGAATGAGACGTTTTACGAAGTGATAAAAGGAGTGGTGAACAAGCCAAACAATTTGACATGCTACTTCACTACAAAATTATGACTACATTGGCAAACAACTTTTTATCAAAGATGGGATCTGACTACACGTGACTACCTACAAACCAATCAGAAAATAAATGTCCTGATGATTTTTGTGCGAGTATCAAAATGACCACAAAAGTATGTAAAAAATGTACCAAAAATCATAAGGATTGTGCTATAAAATGCAGGGAAAAACGAATCACAAGGGTAGAGATTCTTATTCAAAATTAAAGACACAAGGAAAAAAAAAGAAAATAATAGACATAATATAAAAAAACAAAAAGAACTAATAATCTTCGGTAGTCTACAACCAATATTAAGATTGATTCTATCATCGACTAAACAAAAATCAAAGAAAAAGAAGAATACGGCCTTGTTTTTAATAAAGTTAAGATCTCAAATGAAGGTATAGTAATTTTTTATTTTTATTTGTTTTTTCATAGGAGAGGAGTTGCCAGAATATATAAAATTGTAATATAATTCAAATATGAATAAGTTTTATTAAAAAATATATATAAATAAATGAATAACGCTTGCATGCTAAACAGAGTGAAAGGATGGCCACTACCCCAGTTTGGGGACAATTTAGGCAAGGACAGCATGGCATACATTTCTCAGTTTCCCTTTTTGTTTTAGCCATTTTTATTATCATAGTATGTTTATAAGTGGTAGTATATATTTTAAATATTCTTAATCATTTTACAATAAATTCTTAAATATTTTATAATCTCTTATACTTGAACCTAAAACCTCTAAAAATGACAATTATTTCTTTAACGATTCCTTTGACGCTCAATTTCCTTTCGCCTAAAACTATTGTCACGTTTGATTGTCTTTAAAATGATACAACAAATCATTTGTTATGTAAGTATTTGTTAAGTTCTGGATTACATCACAAAGGTAATCTGATCAAAATATAACCAGTAAATTAGGCTCAGAATATCTTTTTCTTCTTCATAAATTAGTAAATATATTACTTTTAAAAATTAATCATACTCAATTAAAATATGAAATATCTAATTAAAATCATGATAAGGGTAAGATGGTATTTTAACAAATATTACTTTTATCTTTAATTCATCATTTTGAAATTTGAGTACTACTTAATACATCACATTCTTTCACATTTTTAATAATATATATATATATATATATATAAATAAATTTGAGATTAATACAAGGTAGTATGTATTTAAAGATTCATAGTCATTTGATAATAAATGCTCATATCTTGCATATGTGGTGCTCGAATTCGAGACATTAAGAAATAACAACAAATCTCTTAACTATTGAAGTCGCTTCGTTCATACTATATTTTAGTAATATTTAAATTTAAAAAATATAAAATAAAATATTTCATCATTTACATATAATAATAAATTTGTTTATATAATTATACATAATTATTTTATTTAAAAAAACTTCATGTAAATGATAGTAAAAAGAGGAATTTGTTTTTTCATAGCAAAATCTAATTTTTAATGGAATTGGTATCTTATCTTATTCTTACCCTTCAACTTCAATCGCCAAATGACGGGCGGTGAAAATCATTATCAAGTGGACGCATTTTCTTGATTCCTCTTTTTCGGTGTGCATGCACACTTAAAATAGTAGCCAACCAAAAAAAAAAAACTTGGGAGCAGAGAACCCTATTTAAGAAGCAGCATAACCCGCGGTGTTCTTCCACGCACTCCTCTTTTCTCCTCCTCCTTGGTTAACCCTTTTTCTCAGCTTCAATTCCCTTCTTCGTTATAACATTCCATTCCCATTCTTCATAGGTTTTCTTTGCATATATCCCCAGTTTAAGCACAATGTCAGGAAGAAGATCACGTTCCAAGCAGTCGAGTGTTTCCAGGATCACCGACGAGCAGATCGCCGATCTTGTTTCGAAGCTGCAACAGCTTATCCCCGAGCTCCGTCGACGCCGCTTCGACCAGGTGCCAATCACCACCACCACCACTCTTCCTACATTCTTCTCCTTGCCCTATATTTCTTTCTACATTTGAAATTCAAAAAATAAAAAATATAGTAAATAATAATAATAATAATAATAATAATAATAATAAATCCTTTCATTTGTGAGGACTTGGTTAACTTTGGTAGATAAGTCTTACATATCCCACAGCCTCATATCTAGGCAACAAGTTGAAGGTGTGGGACTCAACCTGTTCCCTTTTTAGAACGTTATGTAATCTAGCCCATCACACTCAAATATATCATCGAATAACATAATTTAATTCCATGTTCCAAAAAAAAATCCCATCACGGCTTAATCTTTCTGTTTTAATTTTCATTCAGGTATCATCTTCCAAGGTCTTACAGGAGACTTGCAACTATATCAGAAGCTTACATAGGGAAGTGGACGACCTCAGCGATCGGTTATCCATGCTGTTAGCTTCCACAGACAGCGACAGCGACCAAGCAGCCATTATCAGAAGCTTACTTATGTAATAATACAGCACCTTCGGTTTTTTACTTTGTTAAGTATTTCCATGTCTAAGGATTTGATGATGTTTCATCAGTAGTAGTAATGCAGAGAACAAGGATATGAATCTTGTCATCAGCAGACTTCGTATATTATTCTCGTCTATTTATATAATAATTAAGCGTATTCAATGCTTTTATTTCCATGAAGAATATGGTTGCTTTATTGATGGCGAGGAGGGTAATTGTCATGAACATGGGAAATGGGCAAAGTTTCAAAATAAGTTGGTGTTAATGGAGGATTTTTCTTAATTTTGGGACAATTTGAACTTATTAAATTCTAGCTATCGGACAAATTTGAGCTTATAGAGCTATAGAGGACGCACGAATCAAGCGATTTCAGTGTGTAAAAAAATTATTGTTATTCCTTAAGATCTCGAGTTCGAGCCTAAAGAATATCAAGGATGTGAGCGTTTAATGTCAAATGATAGAGAATTTATCTTTAAACATATATTATATTATATTTACCAAGACTAATAAAAAAATCTAAGAGTAAAAACATATTTTTAATAAAAAAATATATAAATTTTAAAATATAAAATAATTTAAAATTTTTAAAAAGCTATTATCCTCATCGGTACACCCCTTACCGTTTAAATATCGGGAAGTGGTGGAGCCAGAAAGGTCAGCCTCAAAAGGCTGATGAGAGTCGCTGACACGTGATTTGCCGCAGGCCAAATTCTGCTCGCTTCCGATGCCATTATCGATAACCATTCTTTTCAACTAGTTTTGCAGTTTGGACCCGTGAATTCGTCATACTTGTTTTTTTCAACATATTTAATTTATGGATAAATTATATCAGTCATCACTTAATTATAACTCTTTTTTAAGATTATATTTAAATTATTATTAATTAGATCATTCAATTATTTAAATACATTCATTCAGACCATCAATAATTAAGTGATAATGTAACAATTAATAAAATTGATATAATTTCATATTTGATTCTCAATATTTATATCTTTTTTAATTTAGTCCTAATTTAATTTAACTCAAAAGTTTTTTTTATATAACTTTAATTTATAACATTTTTGTCCAATCATATGATGTCACTATCATGTTAGAAAAACAACTCTCAAATAATTGAGAGTAGACGAATTTGAACCATGTCCTTGAGCCTAAGGGAAAAGAAGAAACCAACGCCACTGAGCTGAAGTCCCATTTGTTATTTTGCTTATATAAGATTGTATAAAACCTATTAAGGTTATTGCTAAAATAATAAATAAATAAAACTTCTTATTTAGGGACTTAAATCTAAACAAATTATATGATTAGGGAACTCTAATCTCAAATTAATATAAAATTAAAAATAAATTTAAATTTTTTACATTTTTAGAGATATTTAATTTTCTCATAATTATAATTTAATGATTTTAACTATTACATTTGAGTTAAAAAATATTTTCAAGTGCACTTTTATCCTATAAGTTTATAAATTATAAAATAAACGTATCATTTGAAAACAAATAAATTTTAAAAATATATTTTTTACCCTAATAAACAGTTTTTAAATTTAAAATTTTTAACTTTTACTTTTGAGTTAAAGAAATTTGTATAAAACATATTTTTTTCTTTTAAATATTATCCTTTAACATTGTTTATAATTTCAAAAATATTTTTAAAAAATAATGATGAATAGGTTAACTTAAATGGCTAAAATTTAAAGATGTTTATATATTATATTTAAAAATATAAAAAATGTTTTATTTTAAATTTTGTATTAATTTGATATTAGAGTTCCCTAATTATATAATTTGTTTAGATAATTCCCTAAATAAGCAGTTTTATTTATTTATTCTTTTAGCAGTGGCCTTAATAGGTTTTATACAATCTTATGTAAGCCAAATAACAAATTGGAGCCTAGCTCAATTGTTACCTCTCAGACCGATGCAGGTAACCCGATCTGATCCAGGGAGTCACATTAGGGCCACCGGAGCGACCCACTGTAAAAATCTCGGAAAATTTAAAACTTTTATTAAAACATGTAACTCATAAAATGATTTATCAGTATGCAAAAATAAAACAGATTTTCAGACTCGTATATAAAACAAAATACAGTTACATGCCCCCTAATTATATGTACCAAACTCTGCAAGCAACGCCGGAAGGATTCCCTTACTGATGTCGATAAATGCACTGATACGATTCTTGTAACCTGAAAAGGTGAGTAACAAAGTGAGCTTTGGATAGCTCAGTAATAAGAACTACTAGATGATGTTGAAGAACGTGTAGAAACAGATAAACATATTTTTTCTTATTGGTTCAGACATCAACAAATTTTTATGCTGAGCGGAGATCCTACGAATATTTCAAGTAGTAACAAATAGTAAGCGTTTAGTTTAGGGAAATATTTCGGATGACTGAGTTCAGGAGATCAAAATAGGTTATCTAGTGTATTCCCACAAAACCAGCGAAAAGATACAGATCTTTTTAAAATATATTATTAAAAATAAAAAATAATGGTAATCCCTCCAACTGCACAACCAATAATGTGTAGGTTCCCCAGAACCATACACCCAATCGCATAGCCAGTAAGGCCTTGAGCACAAAGCCGAAGAACCTGTAGATATACCTCCTCCAATAATACCCCCCAAATAAAACATTTTCCGTCGGTAAACGGAGATATCAGAAAATAAAACATAACTCAGATCAGATATCATAACAGAATCCATGTTATGAATCAGAACATATTTCAAATCAGATGTCAAAACATAATTCAAATCGGAAATCAGATAAAATATTCATATGAGTATGGAACACACTATAGTTTCCAGATATTATTAAAAGATATTGGATAATCTTATCGGGCGAAGAAACACGGATATTCAATTTACCAATAGAATGTCAGAAGTTAGAATCACTATTGGAAGAGTTTATTAGCTGACGGAATCATCAGTTATTCAGAATGTGATTTATCGGGATCATATTTTATTTATACATTTTTTGGAAGCTCTATGTAATCAGAAGGGTATATAGAATCCTTTACATCTGAGTTACTTGTATTTTCATACATGACTAGAGTGATTTGAGCTGATAAGGATAAATAACTCAAGATGAATAGCTACCAAACTAATGCTTATCAACTTGTCAATTCATTATTCTTCCAGAGTATTTACGCTTTAATACCAAAAATTCTTATCCATAGATCATTTTAGGAATCATCGTTAAATAGATCTTCCAATGGTCTTTATTTCATTTCCACGCTTCAACGATATCAGGAAATGCTGACGTACTTGATTTTTGGTTTATAACCTCATCAGAGTTTTCAGACTTATCCAAATCACTTACTTAATCCTCATTCATTGAGGTTACTTAGCTCAATTAGCAGTCAAGTCTATTCTAGTTACTTTGAGATTTTCAGAGTAATTCAGACGCTTCTGAATTTCAGATACATATTGTACTTCCGTTCAGTTCAATTTGGTCTTCGTAGTTGATTTGTGTCACGAGTATCTACTTCTTAATATCGAATGTGCTCTAAAGTTTAGTTGAGCTGAGTACTTCCAGAATTATCATCAATCGAAACTTAAGAAGATGAACACGCATTCAAGTGGTATCTATGCCATTCAGGTACTGACATAGCATTATCGTTGGTCAACCGGCTTAAGGTGTGTTCCATAACCTTTTAAGGGCAATGCAACATCCATATTTATTTGTATTCCTTAATGAATCCAAGATATTTACTTACTCTTGGCCATAAGGGTATTTTGGTCATTTTAGTACTCGATGGTGTTCCTGCCCTTTCATAGCTTGAGGATATCCAATCCTTCCTTGGCTTGATGAAATTCGTAGGTCATTTGCATTCCAGGGGTATTTTGGTCATTTTACAGATATCGGGTATTTCAATCAATTCTTTTCATTCGATATTATTATTTACTTTGTGCTTATCATTTATTTCAGTCTTTTCAAAAAATTCTAACAAAAGAGCACCCTCGATAAATTATCCTTCACGTATTTACTCACAACTCGGAGATTTACGGATTATCAGAAATTTTCTATATAAACGTGTGAACTTAACGATGAAACTAGTAATTCATCGATTTAGGCATGACTTCTTGAGTACTTTTCCATTCATGGTTAGTTCGAGCTATTTTCCCCTCTCAAGGGTAATATCATAATTTCTTAACCATATAATTATGGTATTAAAACTCTTAACAAAGATAATTATAATTTAGAGATTCTAGAGTTAATCGCTTTCCCAGATAATCTCTAAACTTTAAATTATTACTTATCGACTTCTAGTATCTTGTACAAGCCATCTTGGGTTTAGAAATCGGTTATCCAGATTTCCTAAGCAAAACTAGTATTTTTCATACACATCAATAGTTTCATCAGATCAATGTCTTTACAAACTTCTTATCCAACTTTCAGGGTCAATTCTTGTCTTTTTACAATGTAAGGGTATTTTCATAGTTTTACCTAATCGAAGTATTCTCATAATTTATCATTCAAGTACCTTTAATGAGAGAAATTATAATTTACATATTCAGGACTGATTCCTTTATCACTCAATCACATAACTTGTAATTCAATAGAGTCTTAACTAATTTATCACTTAAACCGTATTCGATTCGAATCCATCCATAATCAAACATGCATAATAGACCAATTATATACATTTATCCATTATCATCATGTTCCATAAAGCATAAAGAGGTAGTAATGTATTACCTCGTTTTCCATGTCATATTGATCGATCATTTAATTCCATTTGAACGCCCTCGATATTGAAATCAACTTCCAATAATTCCTCGGATACATATCAACAGAAATTTCATCAAAATAGAGCTTAATTGTGAAAAACAGATCAAATCGGGTGATAAATCAATGAAAAACAGCTTACCATGTTCGAATTTGGTGAAACGGACTTCGGAATCGAATTCAGGATGTCGAAAAACATAAAATATGACTTTTCAAAAAATTTAAGTTTTGGGTCAAAGTCAACGGGTTTGACTGAAAAATTTGGAGGCTT